ACCCTGCCGGCGGCCATGGACTTTGTGCCAAGCGTGGGAGTGGCGGCAGTGACGCATCTGCCGGCGCTGGCAGAGGCCCAAATTGCCCACGAGACCTGGCTTCGGACAGCAGGTAACACCAGGGTGACATCCCCTCTGCTCGGGGGGATGCTGTGACACGGGGCTCCCCGGGGAGGACGGGCACCCTCGCGGTGCCGCTGCCCCATCCCCGGGTCTGGAATCAGCTCTGGGAGGAAATCACGGCATTACTCCCATTTTAAAGCAGGGGAAACTGAAGCACGGCAGCGTGCTGGGTGCCAGAGCGGCTGCGTAGTCCCTCTTTTGGGGGATAAAGGCTGGAAAACCCCTTTTTTCCTCCAAACCAACAACACCCCATTCACCTTCATCCCAGCTGCCCCGAACCCGGAGCCAAGCTCACCCAGGGAAGCCCGAAGCCCAGGATGAGTTTTGGGGAGAGCGATGGCTCTGGCGGCATATTGGCTGCAGGTGGAGCTGGGAATAGGGGAGCAGGTGTGGGTGCTCAGCCCCTCTGTGGGAACCCACCCATGGGTGGGGAAGGAGGCGGAGGTGTGCCCGGGGCTGGGCTGCTGGTAGATTTAGCTCCCGAGAGGCTCCAAGGTCTGGATATGCGCTGGGAGGGCTGAGCTCTCTGCTGTGTAATGAGGTGCGTCAGGTCTCTGCAGGCCCCCCCCTCCTTGGGGTTTCTCTGGCTGAGACCCCCGTGTTGCAGACCCGTGATCCTGAATGGTGCTAAATGGGGTGTCGGGGGGGTGGGGGGGTTGGGACCACAGTGTTGGACACGGCTTGGAGAGGGCTCAGCAATGGTGCCGGTGGTTGTTTGTCCCCCAAGTCCGGAAATGCTCCGCTGGGAAGGAAAGGGAGGGGAGAACCGGGGCTGTTCCCAGCACTGGAGCAGGAGGGATGCTCCCGGCTGTGCCTGGAGACGTTCCCGAGACATCCCCCTATGTGTGGTCCCAGCGGTCCTCGACCCCCAGCATCGCTCCTTCCTCCCCCTCCCTCCAGCTCCCTGGTGGCTCCGCAGTGACCGGGAAGGACCAGGGACCTGCTGGTGGCCTGGGACTGGACGGTGACAGGTCAGTGCTGTGGGTCTTGGCTTGGGGTTTGGGTGCTGCCACCCAGCACCCTTGGGTGTCACCGCCCTGTCCTCCCAACCTTCACGTCGATGGAGCGGGGAGGGGACGTGCGTAAGGAAACAGGTCCTTTGCCCAAGAAATACGGCTTTCCTGGGGATTTCCTGGCTGATGCAAGACGGGGCATGAGAAAAACGGCAGCTTTGAGCCTAAGCTGCTGCTGGAAAGAGGTTGTCCCCATCTGAGGAGAAGGGACCTTGCTTTAAAATCGAGTTTGGCCCCTTGCTGGGTCTCTTTGGGTCCATCAAGATGTCAACTCTTGGGTAGGATGAGGAGGTCGGGTGGAGGTGGAGAGATGTTGGTGGTCTCCTGTGGCAGGGAGCAGGTGCAGGACTCCGGGGAGCAGACGCGTGGGCATTGCCTGCCTCAGCACCCCCACCCCAGCGCAGGGCTACCGGGAACCTCAGGGCCGCATCCAGCACCCGTCCTGACTGCGCCGGCACTCAGTGAGGAGCTGGTAGCACCGTCATGTCCCAGGCAGAAGGTACGGCTGAGCCCTCGCTCTGTCCTGGGGGAGGCGCAGGATTTGCACAGGGATCCCAGTGCTGGTGTGACACCCCCCCACCCCCCCACCTCAGCACCAATCTCCATCCCATCCTGTTTAATGGCCCCGTTTTGCTTGGATTTTTGATCCTAAAAACACCTTTCGCCCCAAACCCTGATTTGCAGGGTGCTGTGCTGCTCCAGGAGCTCCTGTAGCAGCGGCCCCTGTCCCTGTGTCCCCCCCCAGGTCATATCCGCACCGTGTGGGGAGGGTGGTCGGACCTGGATGGAGCTGGGGGGGGATCACAGAAATAAGCACTGGAGGGGAAGCACTGGCAGCTGGTCCCCAAAGCATGAGGGATCCGTGCATGGACCATCCCGCTCCCTCCCTCCCAGGAGGCGAGGAGGCCTTTGAATACTGCGATGTGGTCATCAACAGCCAGGAGAAGGTTTCGGACGTGTACACACAGCTGGAGAAGCTGGGAGAGTAAGTGGGGGTCCCACGTCCCCACCGCTTGGGGGTGGTCCATGGCTGTCCACGCGCAGCCACGGGTGGGATGCAGGGTGGTGGTGATGGCTCCTTCATCCCTCATCCTCGCTCTGTCCCAGGGGAAAATTTGGGACGGTGTACCGGCTGCAGGAAAAAGCCACTGGCAAAATCCGGGCTGGGAAATATTTCCGGACGCGGACGGCTAAAGAGAAGCAGGCAGCTCGGGCCGAGGTGGAGCTCATGAACCTGCTGCATCACCCGCGCCTCGTGCAGTGCCTCGCCGCCTTCCAGGGCCCCACCGAGCTGGTGATGGTGATGGAGTAGTGAGTTGGGGGGCAGAGCCAAGTTTGGGGGTGGTGGGGGCAGTGCTGGACCCTGCAAGGAAGAGCACTGAAGGTGGGGAGGGGTCCCTGCACCGTGGGTTGCTGGCATGGGGCGTAGGATGGATGGGGAACCTGCAGACCCTGGAGATAGGGGTGGTGAGATCCTCCCAGAGCGCTGAGCCTGCGTTCCCTGGTGGGGCTTCTCCTCCTTGGGGCTCGTAGACCCCAGCGGGGTCCCCAGCACCTTGTCCTCCCCCAGCGTGGCAGGCGGGGAGCTCTTTGAGCGCATCGTGGACAATGACTTCGAGCACACAGAGCCCAGCAGCGCCCAGTACGTGCAGCAGATCCTGGAGGGGCTGAAGTTCATGCACGGCCAGGCTGTCGTCCACCTCGACCTCAAACCCGAGAACATCGTCTGCGTCAGCCCCGGCAGCCACTGGCTCAAGATCATCGACTTTGGCTTGGCACAGAAGCTGGGTGAGTGAGGAGGGGGGTGCTGGGGGACCAGGACAGGGACTGTCACCATCACAGGGACACGATCCGGCTGGGCATGTCAGCAAGGAGCTCGGCATCTTACTGCCCGTGCCTTTGGGACCGGCAGCCCCATGGCACCAGATCAGGGCCCTTCCTGGTGACCGTAAGAAGATGCTTTGGGGAAACCTGCATGTCCGCAGCCCTGCCTCTGAGCTGGGGACCCCCGAGACCCCCACCCCTGTGTGTGCCTGGCAGCCAGAGATGCTCTAGGAGAGCACCAAGACCTGCGATGAGTCCTGGAGGGCAGCAGCTCCACCTGGACACAGGGGCTCATCCACCCAGCACACGCTGGGGTGCAGCTGGGCTGCCCCAGGGAGATCCCAGCTGGACACCTGCCCCATGGTCTCCATCTTCTCTGCAGCTCCAGACACCCCTGTGAAGGTGTTGCACGGCACCCCTGAGTTCATGGCTCCAGAAGTGGTCGCCTTTGAGCCCGTGGGCTTCTCCACAGACATGTGGAGCGTTGGTGTCATCTGCTACATCCTGTGAGTGGCCTCCTGGGGACAGCAGGTCGGGCTGAAGGGGGCTGAGCTGTCATTGATGTCCTTGTGTCACCTCTCCAGGCTGAGCGGGGAGTCCCCCTTCCAGGGGGACAATGACATGGAGACGCTGAGCAACATCACAGCTGCCCGGTGGGACTTCGAGGAGGAGACCTTCTCAGAGATCTCCCAGCAAGCCAAGGACTTCATCAGCCAACTGCTGCAGAAGGACCCCTGGTAGGACCTGAGGGTGCCTGTAGGGTGCTGAGCTGGAGCTGGGCTGGGTTTTGGGGTGCCAAGGTGATGGGCAGGGCAAAGCACTGAATGTGGTTGGTGGAAGGGATGCTCCATGGGGCCATGCCAGCAGCCAAGGGTCTGGTGGTGGAGAAGCCCCCACATGACTGCCCCATCTGCCCCCAGCCGCCGGCTCTCCAGCACGGGGGCTCTGCTGCACCCCTGGCTGCAGCAGCCCCAGCCCAACAGCACCAAGGCGCTGTCGAAGGAGAGGATCAAGCAGTTCCTGACTCGTTGGAAGTGGCAGGGACCTGGGGGGGAGAGGAGGACGGGGGGGTGGGGGGGGGTCCGGGGGGGGGGGGCGGGGGGGGGGGTGGCGGGGGGGGGGGGGGCGATGAGGACGGGGATGGGGATGGCTCTGGTGGGGCTCAGTGCTCCTTCTCTTCTCTTCTCTCCAGAAAACAGGCAAAGCTCTGCCTCAACAGGTTGACCTTGCCTTGCTTACCTGGGGGGATGATGAGGACGTGGGGATGGGGATGGCTCTGGTGGGGCTCAGTGCTCCTTCTCTTCTCTTCTCTCCAGAAAACAGGCAAAGCTCTGCTGGCCCTCAACAGGTTGACCTTGCTGTCCCAGAGCTCGGAGAGGAAAGCGTTAGAGGCTCAGGACGAGGAAGGTGATGCCCCCTGAAGCATCATCCCCAACACACCCCACCAACGCACTTCTCTCTGCTTTGTCACCCCCAACTCCTGCTCCTGGGCAGCTTCCCCCATCTTTGCTCTAACCTGTCCTGGTGCCACCAAACACCCGGGCATGTCCCCACTGTGGCATTTCTGCTCCAGGCAAGCTTCAGTGCCCCGAAGTCCTCTCCATCCTCATCCCCAAGGGGCCATCTCTGATGCAGCCTTAGAACAGGCGCATCCCTCTCTGCAGGGCTGGGATCTGTGTGTGATCCAGAGCTGGTCCCCATGGGACCTGTCCCATGGGTGCCACACGTGTTCCTCCAGCAGAGGAGGGAGGTTGAACTCGGCCAGCTCCTCACCATTCCCTCTGTCCATCTGCCTGTAGACCTGGGCTGCAGCCTGGAGGAGGACCAAGCCTCTGGCTCTCTGCCCCAACGAGGTCCCAGCTTCTCAGAGCTGCTGACAGACCGAGAGGAGAAGGAGGAAGGTGGGAGCGCTGTGGCTGCAGGGGAGGCAGAGAGCAGCGTCAGTGTGACCGTGCCACCCCAGCCCTGGACCACCTAGAGCAGCTGGTGAGAGAGGAGCAGGGAGTGATGGGGATGAAACCTCCTCCAGCAGCTCGCACGATGACCTGGCCAGCCTGGGGTAGGCCCAGACCCCAGGGCTCCTCTCCTGTAGGTGGGCTCTGGGGTCCCACGGTGTCCCTGTGCTGGTGTGGGGACAGCCATGCCTGCTGTCCCCAGCAAGGAACCAGTGCTCCTGTCTCCATGGCCGCCTGGGCTTGAGCTGTCACCAATAAAGCACTGAGGATCTCTGCACTCCCTGTGCTGCTCCTTTTTCCCCCAAAAAAATCACTGGGAGGGGTGGGAAAGAGCTGCTCAAGCTGTGCCCTCCCTTTGAGAGCTGGCACCAGGCTCTCCCCCAACCTGGGCCACCACCCTTGTCTTCTCCAGGAGAGATGCTGGCCCTGGGGACAGGGATTGAGTGGGGATGGCTCTAGCAGCAGCCCTTGGTGTCCCTTGTTCGGAAGAGTCTTCCCTCATCATCAGCGGGGGTTGGCATCGTGTCCTGAGCCCACAGGCAGGAGAAGCCAGGACGAGCCCTGGGGGCTCTGATCTCTCCGTTTCTGGGCCAGCGCTGGTACCAGCAGGGCTGGAAGGAGCCCAGAAACTGCTGTGGGACCTCAAACCTCCTCCTAAGGAGGCAGCTCGGGCAGAAATCAGTGTGTGGGAGCTCCTCTCCTTCAACAAGAAGTGCACAGCCCTGCCCCTGGGGAAGAACAACCCCAGGGACCAGTATGTGCTGGGGGACACCCAGCTGGGAAGGAGCTTGGCCTGGGGGTCTGGTGGACACCAGATGGCTGGTTCGTGGTCAATGTGCCCTTGCTGCAAAGAAGGTGAATGGTGTCCTGGGCTGCATTAGACAATGTATTGCCAGCAGGTGGAGGGAGGTGATTCTTCCCTTTATTCAGCACTGGCGGGGCCACACCTGGAGGACTGTGTCATGCTCTGGGGTCCCCAGTACAAGAGAGCCACGGACACACCGGGGAGAGAGTTCGGTGAAGGATCATGGGGGGACTGGAGCACCTCACCTATGAGGAACGGCTGAGAGAGCTGGGACTGTTTAGTCAAGAGAAGAGAAGAGAAGGCTCGGGGGGATCTCATCAACATACACAAAGGGAGGGTGCGGAGAGGATGGAGCCAGGCTCTTCTCAGTGGTGCCCAGAGGCATCAACTGAAACATGGGAGGCTCCATCTGAACCTCAGGAAACACTTTTTTACTGGTGATGGAGCGCTGGCACAGGTTGCCCAGGGAGGTTGTGTGATCTCCATTCTTGGAGATATTAAAAAAACTGTCCAGGCATGGTCCCAGGCAACCTGCTCTAGGTGGCCCTGCTGGAGTGGGGAATGGACCAGATGACCTCCAGAGGTTCCTTGCAACCTCAACCGTCCTTTGATTCTGTGAAAACTCACCTCCTGTTGAAGATGGGCTGGGGGGGCGGGGAATGGACCAGATGACAGTTGAGGCTGGAAGGAACCTCTGGAGGTCCTTTGATTCTGTGAAAACCCACCTCCTGTTGAAGATGGGCTGGGGGGGCTGCTCTCCTCCAGCACATGCCGACACCGGAGGACTTGTGAAGGTGCCCTGGTTGGAGTGGTCCAGCCCCGTGTCCGCTGTCAGGGGGCGGCTGGGCCACATAATGGAAGCTGCGGCGACGGTTCGACCCTTCCTCCTCCTCCTCCTCCACCCCTGCTGGGCGAGGCCACCAGGGGGTAGGAGGAAAGTGTTATTTTTATTAAACAGAACCGAATCCACCCACTCTCACAAGCACAGTGGGGACACGTCTGAGAGGACAGGAGCACCCACGGGACACAAATGGAAGGGACACCAACCATCAGAGCTGCTGCTGGACTGGCGATAGTTTTGCTGAACCTTCTAGGAAGCTGATGGCCACCACGGCAGGAGGTTTCCATATCAGGGTTTGGCATTCTGCTGCCTCCGGAGATGGCAGACCAGCCGGAGTGCCTGTGGTCCCTTGGTTGGGGGACTTCATGGCTCTTATCTGCTCTTCTCTTGGGCTAACGGGGAGGGATGCTGTCACCTTCCTGTTCCATTATTGTGGCATCAACTCTCCAGCTGACGAGGCTTTATCAGCACCCAGGCCTGACTTGAATTTTTGTGGCAAAAGCCTGTTCCTGTTTGTCGTGTCCATCGCTGATGGCTGCTTCTGGGTACGTCTGAGCACGGGAAGCAGGAGACCGCTGCGGTGTGGCAGAGTGGTAACATGCTTTGCCCAGGACTTGGTGGTCTCTTCCCTTGTCGGAAACAGTAGATGCAGCTTAAGAAGGAACTTAATTTGGAAGCTGGTGCACGGATCTGCAGCCGGAGCATGGAGAGCCCTTTTGGAGACCCCCCCGCAATGATGGTGAGGCCACCTTGATGTTTTCATTGCTTGGCGTGCTGTAGGTCATTCCTCACAGGGTTCGACCACGGCTCTTTAACAGCCTGGTGAGACATCTCCTGACGGAGCTCACCTGCTTTCTGTTCCTCCCATGTTTTCAGTGGGAGAAGTGGATTCACTGCTCTGAGTTGGAGGAGAAGCTCCTTAGAAACAAATAAACAAGCAAAAATATTCCATATTCTACCCATGGCATTTGTTTTCCCTTCCCAGAGGGACAGAGGGAGGCTGAGGAACCCCTTTCTCCTCCACTGCTCTTCACTTGATGTTCACACACATCATATCCCAATTTTTACCCATTATCTATTCTGTGTTTTCCTCGTTACACAGACTCTGAACTCACACGCATCCCTTGGGAACGAAGCCGAATGCCTTCAAGCTGCAGATGATAAGCAAACACCAAGTTACGTATAATCAATCCCTTGATGAGCTATTTACCATGTGACATTACCAAAATATTTCTGGTTGGGAACTATGTTTATCTTCATGTGTTTTCCAAACTCCTCGCAGCCCTTAAAAGCCATGTCCCAGGACTCCAGACCTGAGCTTTCTCTCTACAATCCTGTATTTTATACTGTAAAAACTGGTTTACCTACAGAAGAAGCTGATTTACCAACAGAAGGCACACGTTTCTTCGCCTTCCACTGCTTCCCATGGCTTAACACATTAAAATGTGCGCTTGAGAAAGCAATGGACTAAATGAAGAGTGGAGTTATACCTGGAACTCATTACAGCCAGCGAGAAGTTCAGCAGCACTGAAAACAGAAATCCAATCTCAGCATCTCAGAGGCAAAGGAATTAAGATCTTGATCCTTCCATCAAGAAGGACTCTTGGGTTGACCTTCACTTCAGCCACACAGCTTCCGAGCAGGTCCTCAAATCATCAGAAATCCTCCATCAAGGCAGAAAGGAAGAGCGATGCCCTTGGGGAACCTTGAGAAACGGTTCCCTCCCTATGGCAGGTACCCCTAGGTCCAGCTCCTTGGAGGTACGTGAGGTGGGTCAGCTGTCCAAATACCCTCAAGCTTCTGGAGGTTAATCCTTCAGTGCCAAGTTATCATGATAATCTTGGGTTTATTCTGGGTTGCACAATCTAGGTCTAGGAACGCTTATTTGGATGAGGAAATATTGCCTGGGTAGCTCTAACATCGAGAAATAGTATTTTTTTGTGGACCTGAAAATTCAGGGGAAAAAACCAGAAGAGTACGATGTCTTGCTTGAGTGTTTTCCAGTGAATTGAAATTAATTAAGAAAACAAACCTAAGTCTGAAGTCAACCTTGATGTAAAAAAAAAAAATTCGCCCTGGGCACATATTGAAGACGATTATTTGAACATGTCATTTCTAGAATGTTTTTTTAAGGACTACTATAGCAGGGAGAGAACAGCCACCACGTAATTTGAATTGTCAGCTAAAAGCCTTCACGTATCGTAAGTGAAACACCAGAAAAGTGGTGAAAGGAGAGAAGACACGAGAGTACGAGGACTTGGTAGCAACAGATGCAAAGGCAGTTAAATGAAGAGAGAGGCTGTAAGTGATGAAGGGACATCAGTAATACCTGAGTTGTGATGCACTCATCGCTCAGCAAAGCTCCCCGAGTGAAGCGGGGTGTCCTCACTTCCCAAAGGGCATGGGTAGGTCCCAGCCAGGTTCTGGGGGGTCAGGAGGCTCTTCGTGGTCACAGGAGCTCAACAACCATCACCCCAAGGTGCAGCGCCCAGGATGGGTCCTGCAGGGGTGGCCCAAGAGAAGAGCAGGTAAGAGCCATGAAGTCCCCCAACCAAGGGACCACAGGCACTCTGGCTGGTCTGCCATCTCCGAAGGCGTCTCAGTCTCTGGGGTTGAGATAAGGGGTGAGCAGGATGCTCCCCCTCCTTGTCCTCCTGGTATCACTGGTGCAAGGACTCCCATGTCCAACCTGCACCAAGGACCTCCAGCAGCCCAAAACCCAGGACTGGGCTCCCTCTTTGCAGCTCGGCACCATGCCCATGGGGATCAGTGCAACCCCAAATCCCTCGTGAAACACCTCCCCGTGCAAAGGGGTCCACAAGCCCTGTCCTTCCCAGCGCACAGCCCCCATGTCACACCCTGCTTTCACGGCCTTCATCCCACCATCGCAGCCCTCCCCATGGCCAGGAGATGGTACTGTTGGCCTCATCCCTGCATCTCCGGGGGATGGAGAGCCACAGCTGCCCCTCATATCAACCCCATCCTTGCCCAGCCCTGTCTGCTGCTCTGATCGCACTTGCCCTTGACATGGGGCATCCAACCCCAAGTCAGGAGGGACCTGGTGGGACCTTTGAGATCAAAGCCTGGCCCTGCCTGGCCCAGCAGGCAGCCTGGGGCCTGTCCTAGCACCCATCTCCCACAGGGCTCAGTCCACACCAGGTCTCCTGCGTGGGGGTCTCCTCTCCTACCCTGCATCCCCAGCTGGGATCCCAACCCTGGTGCTTCCCACCAGGAAAGGTCCTTGCACCCTTTTCCAGCTGTGGTCAGGAAGGCGTTGCCAGCATGAATGTGGGCACTCAGGTTTCACCCCAGCATGCAGGCAGGATGCTCGTGGGGGGATCCAGACCTTGGGGGCCCTTGGGACCCCCTGCCCCATAGCAGAGCCCATCCCCAGCGTGGGACAGCTCTGGGTGAAAGCCCTGGTCCTCACACGTGGTCCTGGTGACATCTGCCCTCCTGGGCACACCTCTGGGACTGTGTCGGGGTGGCCGTCCTCGTCCCTACAGAGGGTCGCGATACCTTCCCTTAAAAACCAGGATCAGGGAATTAAATGCAAAATATTTAATGAGACGCTGAAATATTTAATGAAATGAAGAGATTTCAAACTGCAAAATTGAGCTTTGGAAAATCAGAACGAACCCAAATGTGGGTGACCCCAATTTCAGTGCTGCTGAGCCGCCCGCGGCTTCTCTCTGACCTCCCAACCCCCCAGAGGTGATGGGGAGGACGCAGCATCGCGCCAAGGGCAGCTCGGGAATTGGTGGCAGCTGCCTGCTCGCGTCGCGTGTCTCCCAGCTGGGGTTTGGGGTTTGCAGAGGGCAGGAGAGGTTGGCAGAACAGGTCCGGCGCGTTCCCCCAGTCTCTGCGGTGCTGAGCGCTTTGCCCCGACACCTCGGCAGGTCTTGCCGAACAGGAGATGCCACGAGAGCCGGACGGATGCGGTAACGCTGGCGTCTGGCCCCGGGGCTGCGCGGCGGTTTCTGGACCACAGCAGATCCTGGGGGTCCCGGGATCCCACCTGGATCTGTCCTCCACCCATCCCTCAGCAGATCTCTCCTCAAATCTTAAATTTCAGCAAATCTCAGCAAATCTCGCCAAATCTCAGTAA